GACACAAGAGTGCAAGTGAATTTTTTGTTGAGAGTATGTATTATAAATAGTACTATCATTTTAAGTGATATAACCAGATTTAATGAAATTTTATTTGTGTATAATATTCTAATCAGAACATACGGTGAAACTGATAAGCTAAGAGGTCCGTTTATACTGAAAGTTCGCGTCTTATTTTTCCTCGTATAAATGGCCCTATTGTTAACCTGCCCGTTATTTGATGTCAGATTCGGATTTTTCAGATTTTTATTTATTGCACTATATCAATAGTTTACTACAAAAAAAAATTACAATACGTAACAAAAGTAAAATAAAACAACATTAAATTACGTAAATCATCAATGGTGGAAGGTGCGCAGTGACCAAAGGAGCTTAGGCTCACGAGTTGGTCACTGCCACGTGCAACTAACTGGCGTAGACATTTAATTAGCTTATAACAGAGACAGGAAAATTAAAAGTGCAGAAAGTTATACTTAGATGATCGGTAGGCATAATCGCAGATTGTAGATTTCAATTCAAACGATTGTATATTTCAATTCAAACGGAAATCAAACAGTCACGTCACGCCGCCATCATTATGCAAACCCAATGTCTAATAATGTAGTAATTAACTGTAAAAGAAAAGAAAATACAAGGGAAAACGTAGGAGTATATCTAATCCACAAATAAACTACAACCTCCATGCGGCCACCCTCAGGGTACCGGCAAGTGGCCGCTTGATGGTGGTTGGCTGCTCAATAGAGGTTCGTTATAAACCGGGTCATAAATTCGCATAATCTTATAGTAGAAACATCGCATTATTTTAAAACAAACACGCGACGGGGGCAGCAATACTGGTCCACAGTCGGTCGTCATCCTCTATCTCGGACTGTTTTCCTTCATCATAGCCTTGAAATAAAGCGAAACTACAGAAGTGTATCAAGCGCTTGACGGCCGCTTAATAGAGGTGACAACAATGCGAAAGCTCTCGTTGGGACGGCAAAAATGTAGCCCCGGTCGCTTAATAGAGGTTTAATTTCCCATTCTTTTCTACAATTATTTCGGGACTTTGATTACTGGCCGCTTAATGGAGGGTGCCGCTTAAAAGGTGGCTCGGCTCCTCAATGGAGGTTACACTCAACATGTTCGACACGCTTTTTTCCTTTTCCCGCTCATTCAGCTGTCTTTTCTCAATCCCCCGAGTGAGCAGGGGCACCCAACGTCAATTTTCGGAAAATATCTGTTCGGAAGACGATTTGAGATCTAGAATTTTCGGACAATTTTTGTAAAACTTCTTGCTTGCCTACCTCTCCTAGGATTTTCGAACATCTAAAAATTAGTGTAATTGCCCATTTTTAACGGATTTTTACCCTAAAAAGCTCGCCTAGAATTTTCGGGAGCCTTTTTTCTGGCTGAAATTTTCGAAAAGGTAAGTTTATGATTTTCGGATCTCGAGACTTTCAGCTGGGAAATCCGAACAGATGAAAAATTTTTAGGGGATAAAAATATGCCTATATCTACCGTTTAAATACTAAAATACGTTGAACAATGCTATGTTTAAGTGGTTTTGAACTATATTCTCGTTGGGTGCCCCTGAGTGAGCTATGTCACTAAGAAAAACTAATTTCAGTTTCCGGCCAGGGTTTCCGATGTTTTCCAAGTAGAGTTCGTATATTCTAACAACAGTTTAAGAAATGCTCCTCTGCTGGGGTGCTATCAAACTATTTCGGAACTCGTATTATGTCACTGAAAAAGGAACGTGGGTGGGTTTTTATACCCTTTGAGCAGATACCCTTCGATCTTATAACTTATAAGTCGGGAAGAGGTAGGGCTTCCCGTCTTATTTAGGAAGATTAAATTAAGGTCCCCTGCTCAAAAGGTGGAGTTTCTTTCGTTAAGAGTAATTCCACAACTATTTTCTTTTGATGGGCAACTCAAAGAATCTATTCATACTAGATTGCAAGCATACGATTCCTGAACTACTGCAAAGGAAATAGCAAATTGTCACGGACGTGCTACGCAGTCAATGTATCCACCTGCTTAGGAAGTTAGGATGATGTACTTTGCCCCTTTGTCACGTGAACGAAAGAAAGAGAGACTTACGTCGATCTCGTCATCATCCAAAAATCGTGTAGAAGCTTCATGGCTTTTTAGACGAATAAAAGGGAATGTTTGATGATATAATCATTCTTTATACATGTATTAACCAAATAATAATTCTTTAGAAACTCACCAAAAAGGTCTAAAAACTCTACCCTATAAGGTGGCACATACTTATAATCTTGATCATACAACTGTACAAGAGTATCCTCCCACAGGTATTTAAATAACAACTTTTCATTGAGTGGGTTGCCAGATTGTGGAAAATTAATTCAGTGATTAAAAGAGCAAGGCATATAACCAATGTGCTGTTTTGTTATAGTTTTGCTAATTTTAATAAGATGCAAAATGACGATCAGATAATTTTCTGCAATCCCTGCCTTGGTGCCACCACTGGTCTACTGTCACCCATTATTATCTTCAGTGAATATGGAAAACTAGATCCCATCAAACCATAATAATATTATTCTGTGCTTTTCCATAAACTTCTTAAGTAAGCTAATGCTATTTTACTTCAAAATAATTTTTGATAATAATGATGATGATGTTAATAATAATAATGATTTTGATTATGATTTCAAATAGCATTCATATCCACCACAGTTAAATTCCTGAGGTGTTTTGTTTTATTTAGTGAAAATATGAGTGCGCATGTATCAAGAAATTAATAGGAACTTTTTTTTCTCACAATAATAAGCCTCTTTTCATTGAAAATGCTTGCCGATAATATCACCAGATTTAAGTTTTCAAGCATAGACCTTTTTTTTAAAATAGATTTTTAAAAAGTTTAGTAAATTAACATCATATTATTATCGACAACCTTGATTACATGTAGCTTTGAAGTTCTTTGCTTAGCATTGGTTAATTTCTCTCGTTTGACCACAGTGAACTTGTCATACAGCACTAACTATCAACCACTAACCACCAATTATCCAAAAGGAGTAACTGATAATCACCTTTCAACCTCTCAACCTCTCCTGTTTGCCCGTTCACAAGGTCGTGTCCATTTCATGACTAGCATGATTAAGAAACATTGTGTCGGTTTAATTTAATAGAAATCACCTTGTCTTCTTTTTTTAAAATAATCGCGTCCTCTCAATCTCAGGAAATCCGCCAATCCACGCTTGCCATCTGAAAGACACTGTTTATTGGGTTGCGTGACATTAAATGCTTGTTGTGTGACGTGCCCCATAGCTTCTTACCTTGGTAGCATTGATCAACAGATGATCTGCAGATGCTGTATCGTGATCATGAAAGTCTTCTTGTTCACTAACAATCTCCACTTCTCTCGGTCTCCAGTTATTATCGCGATAATGCCCGCTTACAACCCCACCGTATCTCGGATACAACTGTTTGAGATACGACTCGCCACGTCGGATCTGCTCCGCTACGTTCGAATCTTCGGCCAATTTCTCTACTTCTTGAATGACCTTATGAGCCTGCGCTTTCGCCAGTTTCTTTAACTTGGCGTTCCATAATTCTACAGCCTCCTGAGCTTCGATCTCGTCGAATTCGATCTCTCCTTGTAGTTTGGGATCTACTTGCGCAAAAAGTCGACTAAGCGTGACAGCTATTGTGACTATTAGTGTCAACGAAATCAACATCGCCCATGAAATAATCGCAGACACGCTCTTTGCCGAAGCGAATTTATCCTGGAGCGCTGATAAAGCTATTGGATCGGTTATTCTTTCCTTGGCAACTTTAAACGGCCCAAGAGTTAAGCACGTGTAAAAGTCGCCTTCCATGAAAGCGAAGACCAACCACATGAAGGGAGGAAGGAGCGATAGATAGATGCTTTTACTGGATTTCCACCAAACCAGCCTTCGCTTTCGCGATTGTAGGCGACAACATCCTGTGACGAGAGTCCAGAATGACTCGGAAATCAGCATCGAAAGGCAAAACAAAATCACTGCTGGACCGCAAATGAACAGGGAGCCATACAGGATGTGGAAATCGCGCGGACAGTTGAAAACGATCTCTTGTAGGAATGCTTTGAAACCATACAGAACCAGTGTTATAATACTTGTCTTCACCGGGATTTCAGAACTTTTTATAATGTCCTTGTACGGTTCGAAAACTTTAAAGAGTGCATTCGTCAAAGCCATGATTCTCTTGCGTGCCAATTTGTTTGTGATAGTACGTGCAGTTACGAGTTCGC